TAAGTTTGATGTATCAACGAATATTACTTATGTATTAGGAAGGTTAGATAACCAGAACTAAATTTGTAAACAGCCTCATTTAGAATGTGTTTACAAGATACTGTAACAAGTTGAAACATCAGATAGTTTCTTGGTTTTTGATATCGATTTTACACAAAAAGAAACCTTCGTTATTTTGTAGTGAAACACAGAATGTAGTTAATAACACGTTTCACTGAATAGAATGCAGCGAAATTGTATATTGTGCTTCAGGTATACGTTTCTTTAACTTGTTGCTGGATATGTTTTCTTTGGTTTCGTTTCTATTTTTTACAAGTTGTTTTCCAGTATTAATCAATAATTGGTCTGCATCATTGAGTTAGATAATACAGCGTATTTTCATTAATACTGACATGCTTTATCAATATAATTAAAGTGTTTACTTTCACGTGATTTTTTATTGCATTGTTTTTGAAGGATTAATATTAGCCATCACTACATTTACTTCCTTTTTTTAAAGTTTTTCTTTAACTGTTCTTTTTAATGCAGTGTTTCAATAGACATAGGAAGGTTGTATTTATAACCTAGTTCTAATTAAAATGAGGTTCTAAATGTAATATTTATTGTTTATCTATTATTGGTTGATAATTCCTGTTTCTTCTGCTTGCACTTAAGCTTTTAAAAGAACAAAATTTCTATAAAAAAGCTAGCTACAAGGGGTAATGATAACATCGTTTACACTAGAATTATGATTTTTAAAAATTCACTACTAGTTAATAACACTTATAAAAGCGGATACCCCGTTTGAAACTATGTTACTTCAGTGAAATTGGTTGACACCATTGTTTTGGTTTTTCAGTTATCGTGTGATAAAAAAGAAGCAGCAGAAAGAAAAACAAGAAATTCAAATTTGTTTGCTATGATACTTACAGACATTCCCTGAACTTTTGACTCAGTCATTATATAGATATTGTTATAACAGGAAACACTGTATAGTATTGTAAAGTTCGAATAACCTATTGAGAAGATATTTAAAAAAACATTTCGATGAACAATCTGAGCCATCCCTACATAGGCAGTGCTACCACATGCATAATTAAGACCAAGACATCATTCATAATAAAACCCATATCGTCATTTTCATCATGTACAACTTCATCATTGACAATATTTTCTTTGTAATTTGATCGTTTTCTTTTACTGTTTCTTGCATTATTAGTTCTCGTCAATACACTATTTGGCTGCTTTTCCCCATCTCTCCGATTTAGTTAAGTAGAAATTGATAATCCCACAATCACAACGAGAGCATAATACTAAGTATTTTGAACATTTAAGTTTTTTTTATATTTGCAAGATAAATACTCCATTTTGAAATAGAATTGCAATTTTTTCAAAAGTCCTTGAAGCTGTCGTCGGCAATTTCGATCCATAGAATTGGAGCAGTCAGTGGTCCACTTAAACTGGAAATAGGCTAAATCGTCCCCTTTTTTGGCCAATGATAGTGCTCAGAAACAGGAAACTGATAAAAAAAACTTATTTTTTTAATGGTTCATCTTTTTTTACTGACCAACATGAACTTAACTAATTTGGAGATGAAAATGATAAACAAACATGTAAGTTTGTGGCGTCATCTAGTTTGAAATTTTATCAATAAGATAAATATATACATTGTTAAAAACGTTTTTGTTAAAGCAATAATAATGGTTTAATTATATTTTAGAGCACTTAGTGTGAATTATACACATTTTCATTAGATAAGTATTTGTGAAAATACCAATGTTCTAAAGGATGTCAACTGGACAGACTGCAGATAAGGAAAAATAGATATCACTAAGAGTAATTACGAAGAATGTCAAGTGGCATTCTTCTATGGACAAAAGAGTATATTAAAAAGAATTTATTATGTAAGAAACATAAGTCATTTCTCAGACCTAAAACATTAAATATTATCATGATTCTGATTTGTAATTTACCTGAGTAGATAACGGCTAACTAATTTAGGATTAATTAAATAGCATAAGTTTATATAAACATGATTGATATATACTTAAACATATGATATAAAGGTTTTACCCACGAAGTATGAAATGATTGGTATCTAAGTTTAATAAACAATATGATTATCATTACTTGAAAAAAAAAATTCATTTATATATTAGAGGTAAACACTTTATTCTACTACTTAGAGTAAGGTAAACAGACATGTACTGACTACGTAAGCTAATACGAGAGGGCGTTGTTTTTGTGATGTTAGATTGTTTGCAACTTAATACAAAAATAGCTTCTGTGGATGTTCCATTATCGCAATGTGTTGCAACTAAAAACCAAAACCATTTCTTCAGTTTTGTAACATATCGGTGTTTTAAATATTTATTGGTTTAAAAAATCACCAGCTATAAAAAGACATAAATATTATAGTTGATTATAAAAAGTATTTTTCTTTCATTTAATTGTCATATTTAAGGCTTAGCGTTCTAGGGAATTAAAAAGAACATTAAATATTATTATTTTTTTTTAACTTGCAAGTAAGTTATTTAAATCATTGTGTTAGTTGAACTCTGCAAAATATCAACTTCATAATTAGAGGGGGGATATAACTGAACCACAGGGGTTTTTTAACCCTGGCCTTTTAACACGCACTTAAAATGCTGTTTAGGTTGAACAATTTCCCTGGTTATCCTCTTTTTTAAGACTTATTTCTCGAATAAGATTCTCTATAGTCAATAAAGATTTACTGACAGCGCATGCGCTGTTCGTATCAGAAATAAAATATTAGGTTAATTCCACGTGCTTGTCCGAGTTTCCTAAACACATTCTGCCGTTGTTTCTGTTTGAAATATTTTGAGTTATTACGTAAAAACATTGTGTTTATCCAACACTTTTACACTGGACATATAAGTACATGCTGCACAATTATATATATTTGCTTTTACATCTGCAAATCAGCTATACAGATTTCATTCTATTTTATTCAGTATACTAAAGAAAAATAATGAACATACCGGTTAGATTACATCGTGAACATGTTTATCATCTACAGGTCTTATAGATCGTACAATTAAAACCCACACATTTGTTCAATACGTAATATCTAAGTGCTTTCAACCCAGATAATGGAACATTATACTTTCGTTTTGACCTTACTTACTGATTAAGTATTGTTTTATTAAAAGTTAGAGCTTTTACAGTAAGGAAGATTATTCTTTCAGAACAGGTAACGACGTTTCGATCACTGGTGCGATCAAGTACACAGGAATGATCGCACCAGTGATCGAAACGTCGTACCTGTTCTGAAAAATAATCTTCCTTGCTGTAAAAGCTGAAACTTGTAATAAAACAATGTAACATTGTGTTTAAATTCACGGTAAAGCTGAAATCATTACGTAGTATCAATATGGATAACGATATATACATGAACGTAAAATTATTAAATACGGATGCAGTGAAATTGTCAAATAGTCTGCAGATAAGAAGACTATTTAGCTGGCTATTAACCTTAGGTGTGACTCCTGCCTTTACCCTTTAAATTTTCAAATGCTGCAGATAAGAAGACTATTATGCTGGCTATTCACATAATCTGTGATTCCTGCCATTGTCCTTTAAATTTTCAAGTACTGCAGATAAAATAACTATTTACCTAGCTATTCACATTAGGAGTGACTCCTGCCTTTATCCTTTGAATTTTCAAGTACTGC